AGCTGAGTGGTATTTTTTTTTTTTAAAGATTTTATTTATTTATTTGAGAGAGCACAAGCAGGTGGAGGGGCAGAGGGAGAGGGAGAAGCAGACGCCACACTGAGCAGGGAGCCCAACCTGGGGCTGGATCCCAGGACTCCAGGATCATGACCTGAGCCGAAGGCAGACGCTTAACCAACTGAGCCACCCAGGCGCGCTTAGCTGAGTGGCATTCACAATAAGGTTGGTTTTTTACTTTGTGATGTGATACGGGCTGGGAGTGAATGGTCGAGAAAGAATTCTTGAGATGTTTTCAGTGCAAAAAGGTGTTTTTATTAAAGCATGGGGATGACCTGTGGGCAGAAGGAGCTGTACTGGGGTTGTGAGGAGCGATTGATTATATACTTTTAAGTTGGGAGGGGAGTTGAGATAAAGGAAGTTTCCATTTCTTTTGCCTTTGTTCTCCTCATCACTTTGGATAGATTTCCAAAAGTTTAATATTGATTCCATTAATTGGATGAAAAAAAAAAGAACCATCTCACAACTTTGATACACATTGGCCTCCTCTGTGGACCAGTCCCTCAGCCGGTAGAGCCAACACACCCACAGTGATGGCTTTGCTTTTCCATAGGAGGACAAGAAAACTGGGAATTAGAAAAATGAGTCAGGGCTGCCTGCGTGGCTCAGTCGGTTAAGCGGCTGCCTTTGGCTCCAGTCATGGTTTCGGGGTCCTGGGATTGAGCCCCACTTCCGGCTTCCTGCTCCGTGGGGAGTCTGCTTCTCCCTCTCCCCCTCCCACTCCTCATGCTCTCTGTCTCTCAAATAAATAAAATCTTAATAAATTTTAGAAAAATGAGTGAAATGAGTGTAGAAAAAGTCATTTGAGGGGTGCCTGGGTGGCTCAGTTGCTTAGGCGACTGCGTTCGGCTCGGGTCATGATCCCAGGGTCCTGGAATCGAGCCCCGCGTCGGGCTCCCTGCTCCGCGGGAAGCCTGCTTCTCCTTCTCCTGCTCCCCTGCTTGTGTTCCCTCTCTCTCTGTCTCTCTGTCTCTCTCTCTCTGTCAATTAAATAAATAAAATCTTTAAAAAAAAAATTTCATTAAAAAAGTCATTTGATCTAAATGAAGTCAATGACTTAAGGAGTGACATGTCAACCCACTTCTGCAGCTGCACATGTTAACCCATTTCTGGATGCAGTCTTTGAAAATACTAACTTTTGAAATAGATGTGTTGCTTCTGAGTCAGAATTGTGTCGTCTGGTGTGACTTGTGGTTCGTGACACCTCTTCAGCCCCCATGGTAGAAGGTCAAAGCTAACAAATATCTTGTGGAAGTTTCAGTTTCATAATCCACTTTGAGAAATGGAGATTCAGAACTGAATTTTAAATAAAATGTGGACTCCATTTTTGTAAGTGACTTGGTCCAGAAAAGATGTATTGCCCAGTAAGAACAAAATACAAATAAAAAACTTCTACCATACAAGGGCCAGTCTACTGCAGCAAAAGTGTTCAGACTTGTCTGCATAGCCCAGAGCAGGACCATTCAGCCTCTCTTTCCCACACACATCTCATGTATACCTACCCTGTAATTTTCCCCAAGGCCTCATGCACCTTGCAGGCTAAAGAATAGTGCACAAATCAGGTGGTAGGCAGACGGGTGGCAGGACCTCACTGTGAAGATGTAGTACATAAGGATATTATATCGTAACTTGGTAAGAATTATTATCTACTTCACTGACTTGATCATCACGAATAACAACTGTGATATTATTTATCATGCATTATAGTCTTATGCCTATGTAGATAGCCTATGTCAAACTTAAAATAATTATTTTATTATGAGCAACCATATGTTGCACTAGCTGAAAACCTACTTGTCCTGACACCTCCATCTTCCTCTCCTCTATATCAGTTTGGGGTTTATCCACTCCAAGGGACAGTAAATCCAACCGGGACTGGCTCAAGGATAAAGGGTATTTACTGGCTCACACCATGTTATGGACTGAATGTTTATGTCTCCCCAAATTCATATGTTTTAGTCCTAACCCCCCAGTGAGACCATATTTGGAGAAAGGGCCTGTGAGGAGGTGATAAAAGTTAAATGAGGTCATAGGAGTTGGGTCCTAATCCGATAAGGCTGATGCCCTTACAAGAAAAGGAATGGATATCAGAACACGGTCTCTGCCAAGTCAAGACACAGCGAGAAGCCAGGAAGAGAAGTGTCACTAAGAACCAAATGGGTTGGCTCCTTGATCTTGGACTTTCCAGCCTCAAGAACATAAATTTCTGTAGTTTAAGCTATGTGGTCTGTGGCATTTTGTTATGGCAGCCAGAACTACTACTAAGATGGGCGTTCATGTGGGCTTCAGGTCCGGCTTGATCGAGGGGCACACAAGCATCACAAGGATCCAGCTCTGCTCTTGTGTGCACTGGCTTTCCTCTCTGATAGGCTGTCCCCTTGGAGTCACAAAATAGCTGCAACAGCGCTGGCCTGCTTCCTCTCAAGAGGTCACTCCTACTGGGAAAGGGATTCTGAGTGTCTATGTTTCTCTTGCAAAATAATTGGGTCCTATGAACATCCCTAACCCATCCCTCTGACAGGGCAGGCCTGTTTTGCATTCTCTTCCCCAAATGCAAACCCAATGGTATCAGGTCTCTACTTGAAATCTCGCATTGGGAGATCTTGAAATCTCCCATGCCCAGGAGTAAAAGCCTAGCCCTTCATGGGGCCTCCAAGGCCCTGCTGGCCTCTCCTACCTCCTCTTAGCACATCCTCCCTCCCTCTTTGAGTCCTGCCACTTGGCCATCTCCAGCCCTTGCAGGGGGTCACACAGGCTCTGTCTCAGGGGTTATGCTGTTCCTTCTGCCTGTCAGCCCTTGCCCTCTGCTCCCCTCCTTAATTCCAACTCATTTTTTGGGGTCTCAGCTGAGGTGGTGCCCCCTTAAGGAGCCACTGAATGTGCAATTTGATCAACATCAACTCCTGTCTCTGCTTCCCTCGCTCCCAGGAAAAAAGGAGAGAAAGAGAGAAGAAAAAGGGATTTCTATCTAGAAAATCGCAAGCCCAGGGTGACCTTTTGCTTGTAGTAGAAAATGTGTTCTTCATACACCCTGGAGCCTAAACCCAACTTCACCTGTTGCTCAACCCAGGAGGCACCGGTCGGCTTCCAAGTGGGGGAGAGTGCTGCAGGCTGAGGAGGCTGCAGGCTGGTCTCCAGGCTGGCAGCTTCCTAAGG